AGTACTGGGGCCATGGGATTGTGGTTGGTTGTTGGATATGTGTGTAACATTATAAGAGATTGAATATGCTTTATAGTTGATGCAGAAAATGGCATGGAATATGAAGAGGAACAGCAGAGTCCAACGAGCCCCACAAGTAAAACATTACCTAGGTCTGCATCAGGAACTACAGTGTCTTCGCAGACTGCTACAGGTCAGCAGACAAAAGCAAAAAAAGCATTTTTTAAAAAGGTATGTTATTCTTATGAAATAAATTATCTTTTGTCACTTAGGCAAACTGAGATAAAATGAGAGTCCCTGATCGAACCCTTGACCTTCCGGATACCGCTTGGATGCTGTAACCGCTGAGCTTTCAGGAGAGAGTGGTCATTTACTGGGTTCATAATAACAATGTCCTGCAAACTACTTAGGCTCAATACTTCTAGATTAGGTTCAGAATCTTTCTAGATAATTAATGATGAAATTTCTGTTAATTTTCATTAATTTAATTGATGTTACTTCTTTTATTGTACTATATGATGCATGTATCTRGTATATATAATCAGCTATCTTCTAATTTCAGCAAGAGCAACTACCTCCCTATGATGTGGTCCCGTCAATGAGACCTATAGTTTTAGTAGGACCATCATTGAAAGGCTATGAGGTAAGATGATCTAATAATGTCTGTTTAGTAATTTAAGCATGCATTTACGCGGCTCCTCTATATTGTTCACAGGTAACTGATATGATGCAAAAGGCTTTGTTTGACTACATGAAGCATCAGTTTTCAGGGAGGTACGTTATGTCCTTCATGATCAGTTGGTTGTCCTCTTCCTGCCCGCCGGTCACTTACAGTTTATTCTTATTCATCAACAGGGTGTTAATATCACGTGTCACTTCGGATATCAGCCTCGCTAAGCGCTCCAACTTGGCTAATCCCAGTAAAAGAAATATAATAGAAAGAAGTAACAGTAAAAATTCTGGATTAGGTAATGAACAGTTATTAGATGTGGTTGACTATGATATCATAATTTATCGACACAGAGGCAGTTAAAAGAGTCGAGGTTTTGATAATTTATGATATCATGCAAAAACCAAATTGTTTTATTACACATTAGTTGTACAGTGACAATAGAGATTACATTCTGCTTTCGAAGCAAAAGAAAGCCGTATTCTGACAGTTCTGCAGAATAACCTACAGACAGAGTGCATACCATATATCCATGAAAAAGTTAACTAACAAAATTGTACAAATTAGTGCAAAGTTTCGTAGGTCTACGGTCTACTGAGGTCTACTGAGGTCTACTGAACTTAGACTTAATAGAAATCTTAGAGTGCGTACCATATATCAGTGAAAAAGTTAACTAACAAAATTGTACAAATTAGTGCAAAGTTTTGTAGGTCTACGGTCTACTGAGGTCTACTGAACTTAGACTTAATAGAAATCTTAGAGTGCATACCATATATCAGTGAAAAAGTTAACTAACAAAATTGTATAAATTAGTGCAAAGTGTCGTAGTACGGTCTACTGAGGTCTAATAAACTTCCTAATTAGTACAACAAAATTTCTTACAAAGTTTTTCACGGATATATGGTATGCACTCTAATACATTTTAGGTATTGCCTGAATTTTTTTGTCATCAATTAGAGGCGAGGAAGTCAGTAAAACGTATAATAATGTTCTTTTTTGCAGCGGAAGTACAGCAAGAAATCGAGAGAATATTTGAACTGTCGCGTGGTCTTAACCTGGTTGTTTTGGATTGTGATACAATTAACCACCCAACACAACTGGCCAAGACATCGCTTGCTCCTTTATTAGTTTACGTCAAAATAACTGCTCCTAAGGTGAGTACTACGACACAAGTCCATAACTAGATTTAGTCATCACTCATCTTCATATATTTATTTATTCACTTTATTATAAAGAGTTACGAATTAAATGAATGAATGAATAAATAAATAATACCACTACATTCAATAAATTAATGCATACAATTCTCAACTCACATATTTATTTTTACGGAGGGAGGAAAACGACAAAGCTTGTTGTAATAAAGTTAGGCTCGATAAGAATTTGATCTGAGGGGAATGTCTTTGTTGTTTYAGGTTCTTCAACGGTTAATTAAAACACGTGGTAAAGCGCAATCAAGGGCTCTTACAGTTCAACTTGTTGCAGCAGAAAAATTAGCACAGTGCAGCGAGGTAACGTATAGTAAGGACATAACATTCAGTAAACCGGCTTAATTCATTAGACCAAATTGACCTTCGACGGGAGCTACGTAATGCAACGCGTGCACGGAACGCTACAGAGAAAAAAATTGTATCCGYCATTCGTTCAGAACTCTAAAATACTACTCTATTTCTTTACAGGAAATGTATGATCTCGTGCTCGACGAAACACAACTGGACGACGCTTGTGATCACTTAGGTGAATTTCTTGAAAGTTACTGGAGAGCAACTCATCCTCCGAATCAGCCAGGTAGCAGACCTCCAAACACACAACAGTCCTCTTCAATGCCTCAATACAATGTGATTGAAGGTGGTGAACGGCCTAGTGTCTATTTATAGGGTCTGGGCTGGCTGTGTTGTGCAGAACGTGAAATAAATGGAACCTATTTTCCACGCATGCTTGTTTCTAATCGCGTGATCCAAACACATCATTCGTCATTCATTACTGTCGTCAGTCTTTCGAGTTCAAATTAAATCTACGATGTAATGTGGCTGGCCGCCGCAAATGACTGCGGATTGTTAATTGCGGCGACAAAATCCATTCTCCACTGCACTTTTATGGAACATTACTTGCCTGGTATATTTTCTACGATAAACTATATATCCAGGAAAACTAAGGCATCTATCAGCTCCATGCAATGAACGAATTTTTGTATCCAGCAACAGAGTTCCTTACCAGAAATGGGAATATGATGTAGGCAGAGACTGAATCATGTTCGGTATGGCTTCAAACTAAACATAGCCTCGCTAGATAATGGACTAGTCTATTTAAAAAAAAAGAAACAAAATTTGAACCTTAAAGCAATGGCATACTACTTGATACTCTATGTTCAAATCTTGTTCATGTCTTTAGACCAAACTATGTGAAAGCCGTACCCAAAGGACTTAAAGTGTCACCGCTGCCCGGCATATTTGGTACTATTTTAGTATGAATGATTCAAATGGTTCAATATGGTGGTAGCCTACTAATGATCAGGTTTTATTTTATTTGACCCCCACGCATCACAGTGGAAGCCTAACATAACCAAGTGAATGAGGAAATGAGTCCCGTTCAACTGGCTTATGTGGGGTTTCCTCTGTATCAAAGTAGGTAATTAACATCCATCTCATTGGCTGGCCTTGCCGTCCAAAATATTATGAAATTAAAGAATGGAAATGAGATGTTTTTTATCCACTTTTTCATATTTTCATAACTTATTGCATCGATAGATGCAAGATAAATAGAAAGGCTACCATCTAGTAGTATTATTAGCACTAACGATTTGGGCATGCTTGCCACCATGTCAACGATAAAGCTGCCGTAGTCAAGTTAAAATAACTTCACCTTTCTGGTGGAGCATGATTTGTTTTGTATTTTTCATTATTATAAATCAAGAGAGCATAGATAAGAGAAGGAAACTTCTTAATAACGCGTGCGCTATGTAGATTTCCGGTTGGGCTATTTTTAGTAACCGGATGCAGTTTAAATTTCGCCTTACCTTACTCCTGTGTGTCATCAACTTACGCGCGCGCGCACTTACCGTTTATCGTTTTTATCGCTAAAAACGAAACGGAAAAAGAGCGCGCGCTCAAAGGGATGACGCACGGGAGTAGGGTAAGGCGAAATTTAAACTGCATGCGGTTACCAAAAATAGCCCAACCAGGGTGTTTACGTGGCGCGCCCGTTACTAAAAAGTTTCATTTTATTATTAATACCCTCTTGTATAAATCTATAAAACTAATTAGAGTTTAGCGGCCAGTGCATAGGCGTGTTCAAACCCGCCAGTATTTAATGTAATATAATTTAAAGCAGGTACGGTTTTTTGGGATCCGATTTAAAATGATATCTTACTGAAGTATCTGTAGCAGTGCGCCCTGGATGCAGCAAACTAAAAATGAAAGGCTCGGAATAAAACAAACGGTTTGGAATGGAGAGAGAGAAATTTTCGATTGTCTTGGCTGTACTTGGTAAATAATGACAAAATTCGAATTTTGAACTTATTAAGTAGGAAAGCTTTTGTAATATAACAATTTTGTTACGTTTGGTTTTCTTGACTCGAATACCTTAGGCCAAACAATAGGCATTATAGTTGGTTAAAATACGCCAATGGAATTTTATTGAACTGTAAAATGACCACTAGGCTGATCTAAGTAAGTCAGGCCACGGCTAATTCACAAATGGAAATTTAGCACTGACTAGGAAGAAAAATCCTAGTTAAAGTCCAGATAAGACCCTTTGCAGCACTTCGGAATACAGCTCAATCTGTAGGACAGAACAATAGGTTCCTAATTGTCATAAAATTGAAATTCTTATGTTTTATTTTCCAAATTGAGCTGCTTTGACGTCACATTCAAAGGGTTTATCAAAGGAGTGACTAAATATGTGTTCTGACGCGTGATGCCGAGTCCAGGAATCGAACCCGGATACAAACTAGATGCGAGAAGCGAGTGCAGTACCGCTACTTAGATAAGAGTTAGTCTCTAAATAAACTATCTTAAGGTCTGGAGTTTCATGAGCAATGTTGGCTTCATTACGATCGGGCTTATAACTGATGTAAAGGCGGATCAGCTTCTAATACTGTATTGCTCATATAGTACATCTAGATATCCAGTAAAGTAACCAGAGTAGCAAAATACTTCTAATTAGTGCGATAAAAATATTTTCTTCAAAACATGGGATGGGCAGATAAGAAACCAATATGTTAGCAAAACTTTGTAATTTTAGGCTTTTTAAAACAGCTATTTGTTTAGATAAGCTTTTTAGATTTAGTCCTTTTTGTTTTGTCTTAAAATTTAAACGTTACCTTGGTTTCAATTCAATACGTATCTGTAGGCATTCCTGTTGATGCGGGATGGAAGTGCATCCCAATGTTCTGTGGATGCAACTCGGGAACAGCAAGCTTGATTCGTCAGAAATTCATGCAAGGCTCATAATTACACGGAAGTGGTTTTATACTTAAATGGTTTTTTAAATGAAATCGAGTTTTGAGGATTTTCGCGGTTTTAAGCTGGATGGAAACCATATTCATGTTGACTATGTTTTGTCAATTTGTTTTTCTAAAATCAGCCCGCTGAAACCACGATTTCCCCCTGATTCCCCTATTCTACCTAATCTATTTATAGAACCAATTCCGTGTGAATGGGGCAGTCGATTCTCTTTGTTCTCTATGACTTTATGAATCAAAAATAACCTCTCACTTTCTATAAAATTCACAGCTTATAGTATGGAGTAGAAAAGTCTACAAGAATGAACTCCTTTTGATGCCGTGAAATATTCTAACCAATACTATTTAATAGTTACTAATATCTTGCTTATTCCAATAAAACAACGTAATCTATTGAAATCGCGTGTTTATTCTTTATTCCTACCTACCTAAGAAGAAGGCAGGGGCGTAGTCAGGGTTTTCAGAAGGAGCAGACCGAAATTAAAATAAACAAAAAAACGCCATTATGTTTGAGCCCCCCCCAACGACAACAAAACGAAAAGCCGGCATTAAAAAATTAAAGCCAACATTTTCTTGTCACAGATGCCGCTGGCTACGCCTCTGAAAGCAGACTGTCAAGTGTGTATTTGTATTGAAATGTGATCCGATTTCTGTGTCTACTGAGGGAGATAAATCTCGTACCTTATGGAGTTAAAAGGTCCGAGACCAAAACAAAGGCGGTGTGCTAATTTGTTCCGGCAGTACGTGCTCTGTCTGGAACGGGAAAAAAGTAAATGGTTGGGTGTTGGGGGGGGGG